GAAGGGTAGCCTGGCTCTTTGTGTCCCAAGATGGGGTCCTGCTGGAGAGGACCAGGTGGAGAGGAGACCCTGAGGCAGCTTGTGGGGGAGAGGGGCCCAAGCTTCCCAGCATCCCAGTTTAGCCTCCGGAGGACCCTGGCCTATCAGAGGTCAACAGCATGGGAGACCCCAGGCAAGATCCCAGTCTACCCATAGAACGGGAGGGATAAGAAAATGCTTGTTTCAAGCCACTGCCTAATTTTAGCTGGCCTAAGTGGAGACTCTTACCTAGTTACATCCCTGTTGTGAATATCACCTCCGATCTTCCAGATGAAGAAACGGAGGCCCTGAGAGTGAAAGTAACCACAGCGGCTGGTGGATGGGAGACCTGGATTTGAACCCAAGTCTTCCAACTCTGGAGCCCCCGGCCCTTTGCACTTCTCAGGGCCACCTCTCCTCAAGACTCACTGGATTCTGCTCAGAGGCCAAGGCTGGTCCCAGTTGCTGCTTCGGGTGCCACTGGCCGCTGCCACGGTGGTTTAAGCAAACATAAAGCTGCACTCTGCCCTTTCCTTTTTCCTGCTCTCGGGTCTCATTGGAGGAGCAGGATTACTTACAGTAAATGAAAGCTAAGACGTGTACAGGACGTGCGGACGATCCATTACAGGGTTATTCTAGCCTGTAATGTACCTGTGCGCTCTCAGACACAGCCAGACTGTTTCGAGAGGGGCTGGGAGGGTTTCAGGCGGCCATGAGGCTGTTCCGTGGGGTCAAGACTCAGGAATGCAGAATTGGGGGAGGAAAGGTACGTCTGGTGCCCCGGGAGTGCCACGCCAGCCTGCTGTCAGCATGGACAGATCAGACACCTACAGTTGCTCTGATGCAGGGGTATTTACCTGTCCTGGGGCTCCCGAGAGCCAGCTGTTCCTTCCCCCAGGGGCCGGGCGTGCAGCGCTGAATCACAGCCCGGGTCCAGACCCCTGCGGCCGGCAGCGCCGAGGCTCGTTAGCTGCTCAAGGTCCTTGCACCCTCTAGTGGCCACGGGGAGAAAAGAGCCGCTTCTTAGCCCCTCGGCGATTGGGGTGCTGGGTCCCAGCAGACACTGCAAAGTCAGGCTGTCCTGTCTTTGCACTTCCAGGTAAACAGAAGAGACAACTCAGGGGAATGTTGGCCCCAATGAGACGACGCTTTTTTATTTTAATTTATTAAGGTATCGTTGATTTACAATCTTCTGCTCAGGTTTCACATGAGCAACACTGTAGTTACTACATTCCTCCTATTATCAAGTCCCCACCACATACCTCCTTACAGTCACTGTCCATCAGCGTAGTAAGACGCTATAGAGTCACTACTACACTATAGAGTCACTACTTGTCTTCTTTTTGCTATACTGCCTTCCCTGTGCCCCCCTTAAATTATGTGTGCTAATCATAATATCCCTAGTCCCCTTATCCCTCCCTTCCCACCCATCCTCCCCAGTCTCTTTCCCTTTGGTAACCGTTAGTCCATTTTTGGGTTCTGTGAGTCTGCTGCTGTTTTGTTCATTCAGTTTTTGCTTTGTTGTTACACTTCACAGATGAGTGAAATTATTTGGTACTTGTCTTTCTCCGCCTGGCTTATTTCACTGAGTATAATACCCTCTAGCTCCGTCCATGTTGTTGCAAATGGTAGGATTTGCTTTCTTCTTATGGCTGAATAATATTCCATTGTGTATATGTACCACATCTTCTTTATCCATTCATCTACTGATGGACACTTAGGTTGCTTCCATGTCTTGGCTATTGTAAATAGCGCTGCAATAAACATAGGGGTGCATATGAGATGACACTTTTTAAATGAATGATGGTGCTCAATAAACGCAGGCATACATGGCCTTATTCAATGAATGTGCCCCAGCCACGTTAGCTGTAAAAGGAATCTTGTTTTCTTAATGTTTAAAAGACTCTGTTTCTTTCTAGAGTAGATTGAGGTTCACAGCAAAATTGAGGGGAAGGTACAGAGAGTTCCCATAAGGCCCCTGCCCTTATATCTGCACAGCCTCCCCCATCATCAACATCCCCCACGAGTGGGACATTTGCTCCAAAGGATGAACGTACACTGACACATCACAGTCACCCAGAGTCTGTAGTTTACATCACAGTTCACTTTTGGTAGCGTACATTCCATGGGTTTGGACAAATATTGAGGAAAAGTGCCCAGATGGCATTATACAGAGTATTTTCACTGTCCTAAAAATTCTCTATTTGTCCTTCCCTCCCCACAAACCCTAGCATCATCCATTGATTTTTTTACTCCCTCCATCCTTTGCCTTTTCCAGAATGTCAGAGAGTAGGAGTCCTGCATACAGTATGCAGACTTTCCAGCCTGGCTTCTTTCACTTAGTACTACGCATTTAAGTTTCTCCATGTTCATTCACGAATTGATACCCCATTTCTTCTGAGTGCTGGATAATATTTCATTGTCTAGATGTACCACAGTTTATCATTCACCCCATGAAGCACATCTCAGATGCTTCCAAGTTTTGGTATAAGCATCTGCATGCAGGTTTTTATGTGGATGTAAGTATTCAACTCATTTGGGTAAATTCCAAGGGGGAAGATTGCTGGGCTCTACAGCAAGAGTATGTGTAGTTTTCTAAGAAACCACCAAACTGTCTCGCTGAGAGGCTGTGCTGTTTTGCATTTCCATCAGCAATTTATGCGAGTTCCCATTGCCCCACACCCTGCTAGCATTTGGGGTTGTCAGCATTCCAGATTTTGGTCATTCAAGCAGGTATTTAGTGGTGTTTTGTTGTTTTCCTTATTGCTTTTCACTGTAGAAATGAGGTTGTTCTCACAAGTAAAGAAAAACAAAACCCTTAGCTGGCTGCTAGGGAGACTTTCTCTAGGTGCATCTGACATGCCTTTCCCTTTTTAAAGGGGTTTACTAATCCCTGAAGCATTTCTTACCCTGGAGCCCATGGACCACCTGAATCTCCATGTATGGGCTGCAGAGAGAGAATCTTCTGGAATTGCCTGTTAAATTGACTGTATTTGGGGAGGAAGAGGGTCTGTAACTTAAGTTGGCTGCTAGAAAAGGTCTCTGACTTGTAACCCCCAAAAGCTTACAAATCACTGGAAGTCCTTGGTTCTTAGCAGGACCTCTACTCTGCTCTCGTGATTTAACTTGTTCCCACCTCTAGTCATCTTCCCAAAACAACAAAAACAAACAAACGTCTCCTCCTTTTCTGCCTGCTGTTTTAGTAGGGATAGGCCAGCTTCTGTGACTCAACCCCTGAATCTCAGGGCCATAACATAACAGAACTTTATCTCTGGCTCACTGTCCAGTCGGGAGCTCCTGGTTAGCGGGCCACACCGCCAGTCAGGGACCCAGGCTCAGGCCTCTGAGCTGTCCCCTCCACTCGGTCAGCAAACAGGGAAAGAGCCAGGTGGGCCAGACACTAGCATTTTTCCTGGGGCAGGCTGGCCAATGGCGGCCACACTTCCCTTCACATTATACCAGCTGACAGGGACTCTAAGGGAAGCCAGAAATGAGGTCCAGCCGCAGAGGGAGACTCGGGTTTGCAGAGCAACCAGCCGATCCCTGCCACGCCTAGCTGACTCCCCGTCTTCCTTCCCGCTCAGGTGCCACCTCCTCCAGGCAGCTTACTGTGATCTCCACTATATGTTGGTCTGTCTTGCCTCTGATTCTGTTGGGTTAATATTTAATTTAATGAATGTAACTTTAATGTGCATTCAGATCACTATGGGCTTTTGTTAAAATGCAGATGCTCATTCAGTACATCTGGGCTGGTCCCTGGGATTCTGCATTTCTAACACGTGCCCAGGTGAGGCCAGTGCCTCCAGTCCATGAGCCACACTTGGAGTAGCAGAATGAGACGCTGCTCATCTCATCCCCACAGCACCCATGCTTTCCTCCAGCAGATCACGGTGTTGAGACGGCTCATCTCTGGGACTATCTCCCTGGCTCCATGGGACCAGGGGGCTGCGCTGGTTTGCTATTGGACCCCTGCAGTGCCAAGCGCAATCCTGGCCCAGAGCAGGAGCCCAGGGGGTGCCGGTGAGTGAATGATCAGCCTCTATAACTGAGGATCCCCCTCCCAGCCCCCTGGCTAAGCCACACTGGGTTGGGGGACAACTTGAAATTGCCAAATTGATCAGTGGCAAGGCTGGCCTCTTGGGGAAGAATATGGCACCAGAGCAACTAGCAATGCCCCTCCCCTGGGGAGCCGTGCTGAGCTTTGCCCTCTCCACCCCTCCGGGCCTCCACAGGTCTGGCAGCAACCTCTGGCCTCGTTGTGCTGGGTTCCTAATTTATGTTCTTACAGCAGTGACTCTGGCCCTTAAAGGGGCCCCCTACCCCCCTTGCCCGGTAGAACACCTGTGCTCAGGAGAAAGCCTCTTAGCCTCACACTGTCCTAGGTCACTTTCCCCAGAAACAGACCCTGTGCCAAAGACTCACGGATGAGTACTTTATTCAAAAGGGCTCACAGGAGAAAATGGTACAGGTGTCCCGTGCATAGCATCACCTGCAGCATGTGATCCTGGCCTCAGATTCCCTGGGTTCAAATCCCAGCTCTACTTAGTGGGTGGCTTTGGGCAGACCGACTCTCCAAGCCTCGGTCAACTGAGGATCAGGTGAGGCGATGCTCTTGGTGACCTTTAGCTCTAAAACAGACAGCAGCGGGTACTGTTCTCAGGTCGAGAATGGAAGGACAAGGGCTTGGAAGGCAGACTGACCTAAAATCAGCTTGGTGGTCTTGGGCTGCCCTTCACTTTTCTGGGCCTCAGTTTCTTCACCTGTACAGTGGAGCAGGGGAGGAAGACTAGCCTACAGCCCATCTCTCTGTGGCTCCACTTCCTCATCTGTAAGATGGAATCAATCAGGATCCACTCTCTAAGATCACTGAGAAGATTCAAAGGTCACGTGTATATAACATACTTATAGCACACCAGCTGAAGGTGCACGCGCCGTAGATGGGAAGACGTTAGACAAGGCTTCTTTGAGGCAGTGATACTTACGTTGAGGTTTGAGGAGTAAGTAGATATCAGCTGGGGATCAGGCAGTGTGTGAGTCCAGGGCCCACTGCTATAAAACATAGGCCACAGATATTTTGCAGAAGAGTGCAAAAATACCGCTTTCTTATTTTTCCAAAATTCAGGTTTATCGAAAACCCAATCCTTTCTTGCATTCCCACCCCTCTCTCTGCACATTCATGCTGAGGTTCTGGAGTCTTCATGGTGCCACCGGGGCCCTCTGTCACTGGCCCACACAGGTTTCGGTGGAGACACCCATCACCTCAGTTTACATTCCTCTAAGGCTGTGGAGGTCTCTGATGCCTCTACACCCTGTTCAGGGCTCCAGAAAGCCTGGGTTCGATCTTAGCCCTGCCACGCAAGTCCCTTCGCCTCTCCAAGCCTTTGCTTTCTCACCTGTGACATGAGGATGGACGATTCTGTGATCTCTCTTGCTGGAATGCACCACCCAGCTGAGGCCCCTCCGAAGTCTTGCATTCTGCTTGGCAACTCAGCTCAAGGTGAAGCCCTTGATTCCAAGTAAATCCATTTTATTTCTTCAGGTAAGACGTGTATATGCTAACAGAGATGGAAGAGATTAGTGAAAAGTCTCCCTTCCTTTGCCTGTCTCTCTACCCTTAATTCTTCTTTCCAGATGCCAACATTGTTACCACATCCTTTCATCCTTGTAATCTATGCATATCTTAGAAGCTAGTTCTATGCATCTTCTCTCTTCCTACATACCCTTTTTCAATTTTCTTAAGGAAAATCCCAACCATAGGCCAAAGTAGAGAGAACAATATAGACCCCACTCTGTGCCCATCACCGGGCTTCACCTGCTGTCAACTGTGTCAGCTGTACGCCCACCTGCTTGTTGCTCCCATTGGCTTACTTTGAAGCAAATCCTAACCACTTTATTAGTTCATTCATAAATATCTCAGAATGGACCCCAAACATATAAGGACTCTTTTAAAAGACCACAGTCACAATATCACCATCATCTGCAATAATTTGAACATTAATTCCTCACTACAGTAAGATATCCAGTCAGTGTTCAAATTTCTAAGGTGGTTGTACTGTTTGGATCAAGATACGAGCCAGGTCCGTACGTTACAACTGGTTGATGGCTAAGTCCCTTTTGACACTGGTCCTCTCTATCTCTTTCTTTTTTCCTTTTAAGACTTTGCGGATGACTTCCCTGGTTACGCACTTCCTGTTTTCCTCAGTTCAGTCCCTGCACATCCGTGAAATGGACACTTAGGATCTAATCTGAATGACAAGGCTTCTAGTTATGTGGTCCAAGCTGGACTTTCTCAAAATCTGTAGATCTAGTGACTTGATCAGAATCCAATTCCATTTTTTTTTTTTTATCGAGACTCCTTCATTGGGTGGTGTGTATATTTCTACCAGGAGGCACACAATCTTGGGGTGCCTCTCTGGTTGGGATGTTGGGTGCCATTAATGCTCATGACCTCCATCTATTAATTCATTAAAAGTTGCAACACAGTGACATTCCAATGCGATTTCTTCCTGCTTTCTGTATTAGGTGGAATCTTCCCTTAGTCAACCCTTTGGCTATCCTGAAGAAAGGCAGAACATTTGCTGTTTTCTTTCCTTTTATTTACCAGTTTTCAAAATAATGAGATGGTTCATTAGCATCCTCCAATGTATGATTTTTTTAACGTATGATTATCCCCTCTTTTTAATGTATGATTATGAATGTATGGCTTTAAACGTATTTGCTACATTTCAACCCATTTCAGCTATCCTTATGGATATTCAAGTTTTCCCCTTGGGCCTGTAGGAGACTCCTGACTCAGCACCTGAGACCACTGGCTATGACCCTAGGAGGCTGGCAGCTGCCATGCTCACCTTGGCCATTTCCTGCTCCGGGCCTGAAATCAGCCGTTTCTCTCACGAGCCGTCTGGCTCCACGGTCACACAAATCAAGCCATTCTGCGTCTTCTTCACTTCCTGACACCTATACTCTTGGATATCACCCCACGTAATGTGCTTTTGACTTCTGAAAATAAAGCCCCAAAGGTTATTCCTACTTTATCCCCAGTTACATCTCTCCCTTGAGGAAATGAGCAGGCGGCTGAGTTCAGTTTGGATTCAGGGGACACGGGGAGAAAGCTCAGAGTATGTGAAAGTGCACAGCACATTCACTAGCTGATCAGATAAGTGATTAACCTCATCCTTCTCATTTGCTCTTCCCTCATTTCTTTCATAACTTTCAATTCAATACTTCTTAGGAGTGTTAACACAACTACTTATTGAAGGGGGACAAATGCACTGAATCAAGTCGTTATGTTTTACCGCACATCGCTGCAAAATTCCTTCTCGGGTCTCATACAATTCAATGCATGCCAAGAATGCTAGCTGTTTGCAAATCTGAAGAAACAGCTTGTCCATCTCCTGCTCTGCAGAGCCTCCCAGAGCTCCATTTCCTTCCCTAACATTTGATTTTGTAGCGACAATGCAAATTGAGTCCTAGAAACTCCTGTACTCTGCATTCTCCCCCCACACCCAGCCCTCTCCCTTCTCATCTTGTCAGCTCCTGACAGGTGTTAGCAAGAATCTTAAGTTCAAAAAGGTAAGTTCATGGAACTAAATGCCAGGGAGACTTGAGTAATCTCTTTTTGCATAATTCAGTACTTAGGGTTACTTTCCAAATGCCAAAAAGCCTTTTCATCTAACTTTCTTTTTCCCATTTGTGATAGAGAAGTGGGCACTGAGAAATATCACTCTGCTGAAAGAAAAACAGGGCAAATGTTCAAATGGTGGGTGTGTTTGGATATCAGCCTCCATGTCAGGGGGCAGTAGGGAGGAGTGGGGACTGTGGTGAACCAGAACCCCACCTCTTCCATTTCCAGAGGGGAAGCTACCACTGAATTCTAGCTGCTCACTGCTAGGGCATGTGTGGACAAAGTGGTGCCATATCTTAGGGATTTTCAAGAGAAACTGCAGATGTGAAATCTGATGTTAATACATTTATTGTGTTTTCCATAGTGCCTTGATTTTTTTATAAAGCACTTTGCTGGCCAAACAGAAACACATTTCTTGGCTAAATTCTAATTTCAGGCCACCAGTTTGTAATCCTCTTTCCTTAATTTCCTGAGCAGTGTCTCTAGGCTTTGAGCAATAGCCACCGTACTTTTCTCTCCTCAAGATATGCTGAGGGCCCCAGTCCCTCTGCCACTCTCCTGGGGTCTCTATCAGCCTGTGATGTCTGTGCATGGGTGTGTATTGTGTTTTTTTACACACATTAACAAACACCTATATGAAGCCTTTATATACATTATTAAATTTAATTTTCACAGAACTATGAGGTGGGCACACATATTAGTTATTTACTGCTGTGTAACATATAACTGCAAAATTTAGTGGCTCAAAACAATGGTTATTAATTATCTCACAGTTTTGGTAGGTCAGGGATCTGGGAGCAGCTTAGCTGGATCGATCTGGTGCAGGGTCTCTTGTGAAGCTGGAGTCAAGATCTTGGCTGCAGCTGTGGTCACCTAAAGGCTTGACTTGGGCTGGGGCATCTTTGTCCCATGTGAGGTGGCTCATTCACATGCCTGGGAAGGTACTATGGCTATGGGCAGGAGGCAGCAGTTCTTCACCACATGGACCTCCCCATAGGACTGCTTGAGGATCCTTACAACATGGCGGCTGGAACACATGATCCGAAAGACAGCAAGGCAAAAGCTGCAACATCTTTATGAGCCAGCCTCAGACGTTACACACCGTCATTTCCTCAGTGTCCTGTTGGTCGCATAGGTCAGCCCTTTTCACTGTGGGAGGGGACTATGCAAAGGTGTGGCTATCAGGCAGTGAGACCCATTGGGGGCCATCCTGGAGGCTGGATGAGTTCCATTTCCAGATGAAGTAACAGGTTCTGACAACCTGCCGGATGTCAGCAAGATCCAAACCTCAGATGTTTGGCCAAATATATTGCCAACTAGCTTTCAGTCATAGTCAGTACCATGGGGATTATTACAGATGACTGCACTCATTTAATTAGCATTTACTAGACTCCTATTTTGTACCAGGTTCTATGTTGGCTGCTGGTTTAAAGTTCTGGAAATGGATGAATGGGAAGAGGGTAAAATTTGGACCTCACCAGTTAGGTAGTTTGTCTACCTTCCTACCCATCTACCTATTTACCTCCCTATTGGCCTGCTTAATTTTTCCTTTTTTCTTTTTATGGTAGAATCATTTTTTTCTTTCTGTTTTTATTGAGATGAAAGTCACATGACATAAATGCAACCATTTCAAAGTGAACAATTTAGTGGCATTTAGTGAATTTGCAGTGTGGTGCAACCACCATCCCCATCTAGTTCCAAAACATTTTTATCACCCCGAAAGAAAACCCTGTACCCATTAAGCAGTTTCTTCCCCTTCACACTCTTCCCAGCCCCTGATAACTACCAATCTGCTAACTCTGTGGACATACTGACAAATTCAAATAAATGGAATTATACCATGTGTGACCTTTCATGTCTGGCTACTTTTCCCTTAGCATGTTTTCAAGGTTCATTTACTTTATGCCATGCATTAGTATCTCATTCTTTATCATGGCTCAAAATATTCCATTGCAGGTATACCATAATTTGCTTATCCGTTCATTCATTGAAGCACATTTGGGTTGTTTCTACCTGTTGGCTATTATGAATAATGCTACTATGAACATTCATGTATAAGCATTTGTTTGAAAACCTGTTTTCAATATTTTGGGTATATACCTAGGAGAGGAATTGCTGGGTCATATGGTAATTCTATATTTAACTTTTGGAGGAATTGCCAAGTTGTTTTCCATGGCAGCTGTACTATTTTGCATTTCTACTAGCAATGCTTGAGGGTTCTGATTTTTCTACATTCTCACCCACACTTGCTATTTTCCATTTTTAAAATTATCACCTTTCTTGGGGGTGTGAGGTGGTATCTCATTGTGGTTTTTGATTTGCATGTCCCTAAAAGCTAATGATGTAGAACATCTTTCCATGTTCTTTGTTGGCCATTTTTGTATCTTTTTTGGACAAATGTCTTTTTGAGTCCTTTTCCCATTGTTTTGTTGTTGTTGTTTAGTCATAAGAATTCTCTATACATTCTGGATACTAGACTCTTGTCAGATAGATGATCTGCAAATATTTTCTTCAGTTCTGTGGGTTGTCTTTTCACTTTCTTGTGAAATGTTCTGTGACGTGCAGAAGTTTTCAATTTTGATGAAGTCCAATTTATCTATTTTTTCTTTTGTTGCTCGTGCTTTTTGTTGTCATATCTAAGAAACCATCAACTGATCCAAGTTTACAAAAATTTATGCCTATGTTTTCTTCTATGAGTTTTATGGTTTTAGCTCTTACATGCAGGTCATTGATTCATTTTGAAATAATTTTTTTTTCTATGCAGTAGGGATGCAACTTCATTCTTTTGCATGTAGATATCCAGTTGTCCCAATGATGGGACAACTACTTATCAACTGGTTGTTCCTCTCCTGTTTTACAGTGTCTGTGTGAACCTGTTAGATACAAAGTCTTTATTAGACTTGGGGTTGATTCCAATAACTTCTCAGTGTGCCTTTGCCACTGCTTGGATTGCTTTCCTTCCTCTTAACTCCTCTATCCCAACCATAGCTCAGAAGGCAGCACATGAACTCTTCCGGCTGACCACAGAGGCAGGAATTCTCAGGTCTTCGGGATGGCTTCACTAGGTGTGGGAAGCAGGAATGTGGAGCAATGACAAAGCCATATCTGGGCCGCAGGAACCGAAATGACCTCCTGGCTTCTCTTTTCGCAGAATCTCTCTGGCCTCCCAAGCTTCTGGTCAGGTGCCCTCTGGTGGTGAAGGGGACTTTGGAATCTCTCAAGTGGCTCTTTTTCCAGAGCCTGGAGTGGAGCAGAGACAGAATTCAAAGACCCATGCGAACCTTACGTGCCACCAGAGCTGAGAATCCTGCCCTTGAAATACTGCATTTCCACGGGAGGCTCTAGTCCTGGAAGAATGCGTCTCCATCTTTGATCTGGGGGAAAAGTGTCCTCCATCTCCTTCTTCTCAATGTTATTTATTGAAATATTGTCTGTGTATAAGTGCACATATTTATTATAAAAGTAACATCATACATCATTTGAAAAATATAAATTGTAAGAAGATAGTATATTCCACCTATTTGATTGGTGAGGATGAAAACGTTTGGCAGCCACAATGCAAGGGTAGAAGACTTACAGGGAATGGGGCATTTTCACATCATGTTGAGAGAAGAGAGTGTCATGTGGCACAGTATTTTTGTAAGGCAAACTGACAATATTTGCCAAAAGTCAAAACAAGTCTCTTCTGTGACTCAGTTAGTTCATTTCTCTCAAATGACCCTGGTCCAACAGTTGTCTCAATGGGCCTGAGGAAGGGTCATATAAAAATTTGGAAATCATGTACAAATCCGTAAGTAGAGGACTTGCTAAATAAATCATGAGACATCCATACCATGGCTGGATTGCCATGCTGCCTTTACAAAGAATGAGGCAGAAAATGTCCCCAAAGTGAACCATCTCCAAGGTAGATCAGGTTAGAATAGCATGTGATCGAACTTCTTTGCTATTTTTTTATAAATATTTATTTTTTATTTTGGCATCATTAATCTACAATCACATGAAGAACATTATGTTTACTAGGCTCCCCCTTCCACCAAGTCCCCCCCACATCCCCTTCACAGTCATTGTCCATCTGCGTAGTAAGATGCTGTATAATCACCACCTGTCTTCTCTGTGTTGCACAGCCCTCCCTGTGCCCCCCTGCACACTATACATGCTAATCATAAGGCCCCCTTTCTTTTTCCCCACCCTTATCCCTCCCTTCCCTCCTATCGTCCCCAGTCCCTTTCCCTTTGGTAACTGTTAGTCCATTCTTGGGTTCTGTGATTCTGCTGCTGTTTTGTTCCTTCAGTTTTCTTTTGTTCTTATACTCCACATATGAGTGAAATCAATTGGTACTTGTCTTTCTCCGCCTGGCTTATTTCACTGAGCATAATACCCTCTAGCTCCATCCATGTTGTTGCGAATGGTAGGATCTGTTTTTTTCTTATGACTGAGTAATATTCCATTGTGTATATGTACCACATCTTCTTTATCCATTCAT